GTGCGGCCGATCGCGGGAGCTAGGGCACGAGGGGGGGCGAGCAAGCTGCGATCGAACCGCGAATGGGAAGAAGGGAAGGAGGCTAGCGCAGTTGAGGTGAAATAAGGTTTAAAATAAGATTTATTTTATTTTTATTTTTTTGTTATTTTATTTTATTATATTATATTATTTAATTATATTAATTAGCGTGTGATTTATTCGTGTTTGGAATCCTAGCAAAGTGGGTATCTTTCCTGGTTAAAATTGACGCTCCGGACGTGCCGACTCATTCCGTTCATTCAGGTGTGTCATCCGGTGTCGTTCGGACGAATTCATCGATTTTCGTGCAATTTACTCGTGTGCAAAATTATGACAATATGAGTGTCCTCCCTAGCTAAAAATGATGTCCCGGACGAGCCAGAGTAGTCCGTTTCGCCATCAAAGGTCGTTCAGAGAAGTTCACATTTTCACCCTTTTTAAATTCAATTTTAGTCATACTTTGTGCAACTTAGTGGATTTTGTGTATTTTGTGTATTTTGTGTGTGTTGATAAAGTCATAAAGGGGTTTCCCTAGGGTTTGAGATCCTATTAGAAACTTCTCTTTGAGTCTCCACATGTGGTCCTTAACCACTCAACCAAATGATGATGGTTTGAGACCACCCAGGCGAGACACCACAAGAGAATCGGGAAGTAGTTCGAATTTCTAAAAAGGGGTGGGTCCCAACTTTAGTCCTCTAAGATAGTCGATAGGAAGGCTTAGAGCTAGATCCTAGGATCTAAGGAAAGGAGAAACGACCTCAAAATGAGGTCAACTGACTTCTGTGTCTCAAATCATCTTTTACGCCCATTGTATCCCGTCCGTTGTAGGAGTCTAGCATTTGCATTGACTTCTGTTCCGAGCCTTTTGCATCCAGATCCTCTAAGAATCGGGTGAAATGTATGTAAATGCCCGTTATAAGTACATGCACTTCATAGTTTATTAAATTATTAGATTTATAAAAAGGTTTAAATTAATTTTAGGGGAATTTTACTCATTTACATACATTCCACTCAATTCTTATTAAAGTTTAGGGTGTTAGATATGGAAATTAATAAGAAGTTTAGGGTGTTAGATATGGAAATTAATAAGAATTGGGTGGTATGCATGTATATTCCCCTTAATTTTAATTGCCTATATGCAATTTCTCAAAATTTCGAGTTCATTGCTATTGGCTTTATGAATGTCATTGACTCATTATTTGTTCATTGATTCATTTGTTTAGGTAATTAGGTTATCTTTTTTTTTTAAGATAGTATGGGTGGTGGCGCAAGAAGAAAAGATCCAGCTTGAAAGTATGGGACTCAAGTTGAAGTGGCAGGAGAAGGTGCGAAAAAATTATGTCTATTTGGAATGTAAATTTTTTGATAAGCGAATTACTTGTGATTTGAAGCGGCTTAACTTTCACTTGTCTTGCATACATTTAAATATTGGAGCATATCAAAAATTGCTAAATATAAGTCAAGAAGTGTGCTAAATAATTAAAAAAATATACCATCTCAAAAGAAACATTGCACATAATTATGGAAGAGATGATTGATAATAATTCTTATTTAGGGTCTCAATTTGACTGTTCTAGTAATGGAAGTCATTTGCATTCTTCTGATAAAGGAACTCCAGGACTAATGGATAGATTTATAGTGAATGTGTATGAAGATGATAATATCAACTCTCAACTAGTTCCTCCTTTAGCTTATGCAAAAAAACACATAAATAGAGCGTGTTTTGATATTGCAAGATGCTTTTATGAGAATGAAACTCCTTTTATGTGACTATGAGTCATTCATGAATCAACATGCTTCGCTTTGTTGGAAATTATGGGCGAGGATTGAATCTTCCTAGCATGTATGAGTTGTGAACTTGGATGTTGGATGAGGAGGTTAATTGTAGTCAAGAAGTGTGTTGAACATTTAAAAAAGTATACCATATGAAAAGGAACAATGCAAATAAATATGGAAGAGGTGATTAATAATAGTTCTTATTTAGATTCTCAATTTGATAGTTTTAGTAGTGGAAGTCATTTGCAATCATTTGGTAGAGGAACTCAAGGACCAATGGATAGATTTATAGTGAATGTGGATGAAGGTGAGAATATCAACTCTCAACCAGTTTCTCTAGTTTCTGCAAAAGAGCACATGAATAGAGCGTGTTTAGATGTTGCAGGATGCTTTTATGAGAATGGAATTCATTTAAATGTGATTAGGAGTTAATTTTGAAACAACATGCTTCTCAATGTTGGGAATTATGGGCGGATTGAACCTTTCTAGCATGTATGAGCTGTGAATTTGGATGTTGGATGAGGAGGTTAGAACAACAACAAAAATCATTGATGAAGTGAAGAAGACATGGGTTGAAACAAAGTTACAATAATCATAGATAATTTGCCAGATATTAGACAAAACAATATTATAAATTTTCTTATTAATAACCCTCATAGAGCATTGTTATTGAAATTTGTTGATATATGAACTTTTATAAAATATGTCATATTGTTTTTTAAAATACACGATGAGGTTGTTAAAGAAGTTGGGGTGAGCTTGGTTGTTCAATTTATTACAGATAATGCACGTGCCTATAAGGCTACAGGGAGAATGTTAATGTAGAAAAAGAAACATCTTTATTGGACTTTTTATGCTGCTCATTTTCTTAATTTAATGCTTGAAAAGTTGGGACAATTGCCGCGACATTAATCTGTTTTGCTTAAAGCAAAAATAGTAAATAAATTTATTTACAACCACTCTTTGGTATTAAGCTTGATGAAAAAATTTACATATAATGAATTTATCTGACCAACAATTTCAAGATTTGCCACAACTTATTTGACTTCACAAAGATTTAAAGAGCTATGACAACCTTTGGAAGCTATGTTTGCTTTTGAAGAATGAAATAAAAGTTGCAAGGCAATAAAAGTAGAAGAAAAATAAGTGAAGAAGATTATTATGAGAGCTGATTCGTAATGTAAAACTTGAAAGATAAACACTTGATGCTACTAGAGCTGATTCGTAATGTAAAACTTGAAAGATAAACACTTGATGCTACTAAAACAATAAAATGGTGGTGATGGAATAAATCCTTTAATTGATGATGATATGATATCTGATGATGAATATATGATGCCTAATAATGATGAAGGATTTGAGGTTGAAGTTGAAGAAATGATTTTTAGTGTTGATGATGAAGATATTAATGCTAACATTGAAAGGGGTCAAGAAGATATTGAATGTGGAGCGGATTGTACTTCACAATCATTTAAAAGAAAAAAAAAAACAAAGTTGGGTTGGAGCTTCAACCAAATCTAAATGTAATTAATTACTTATGTGTTACTAGTTACTAATTTATTATTTTATTTAAAATTATATTAAAATCCATGTTAATTGATGCATAAAGTAAAATGAAAGATGTGGAGATTGAAGAAGACTTTGAAGATGATGATAACACAAAATTTGAGGGTGATAGAGTGATTGCATATGATGATTTTTCCAAAGATGATGAAAGTAATGGTGATACCTTTGAATCTATTTCTTGTGGCATATTTAAATTCTAAGGTGGTGTTTGGTAGCTTCCTATTAATTGGATTTAGCCATGAATTTAACTTAAATTTAACTAAAAAAAAAATAAAAAAAATTAAATTCGTTGCTCGGTTAAATCCAATTTTCTCGCATTCTGTTTTTTCTTCGCACATTCAATCACTTATATGATGTAAATTTGGTTGCGAGATGGATTTATTTTATCATAGTTTGAGAGTGGAATCGTTGTGGTGTGAATTTGATAAATCCGGATTTATCGGATTTGATAATCGTATTTAACATAAATCAAAGTTACAACCAAACACCACGTAAGTTTAATTTTCAAATATTATTTCAAACTTTTGCTTTATTTTTGGGATTTGGGAATATTATATGCACGTGTTATTAAGTGAAACATTGAAGTCTAATGATCAAGTTTTGCGGTTAGTCAAATGTCATATTTATGAATTATGTTTAATTTTGTGAGTTTTTATTTTTTTGTTTTGACGCTTACAATTCGCCTTGCAAAGAAAAAACACCTCAATTCTCTATTTTGCCTTTTTAAAACATTGCTTAATATACTCTTATTATATACCAATGAAAATAAAAGTAAAACAGGTCCTTATAATACAATCTAATTATAACAAGATCCCCACAAATGCTATGTTAAATGGAGAGTGAGCTTGTCTTTTTTTGGAAGTCCAATAAAAATTATGGACCGTGCAGTATTCATTTTTGGCTCTGAAAAACTTGATCTTCAAAACTACAAGTCCCGGCCATGTTTGTTTTACTTTTGTTTGGCGAATTTGAAATGCTATTTGTGGACGCATATTATATGATGCAATTTTGATGTTTTGATCATTTCATGCTCATATAAGATTACATAGTTGCATATTCATTTATGTATTATTAGACATAGCTATTTGTTGTATAAAATGTTACTATTTCTTTACAAGAGTTGCTGTACATAATGTGGTTCTATGCTAGACATTCAGTGCATGCACCATATTTTAATTGCTCGATGAGTTGGCATGAATAATGCAGCATGCACTTTGCACTTAGGACAATGCTTTGGAATGGTGAATGAGAGAGCATGGTGAGTTTTTTGTATTTGTTTTTTCTTTTCCGAAGTACTATTTGGACGCTGCTGTATTCAGGGAAATCTGATTATTTATAGCTTTTTTTGAGTTGATTAATTTAAGCATGTCTGATATGTTTTGTTTCTTTCAATGGCCTAGGTTTACGAGGCTGAGTTTTAAAGTTTTTTAAGTACACTTTTTAGTAATTTTATCTTTTGATGGATACTTGAACGGAATAAAGATTTGATAGTTGCAGACATTGTCTGCAAAACCTTGGAAAGTTAGAAGTTTTTTCCTTATTTGGAGTGATTTTAAAAACTTGTTAATGTGAGGTAACTGATTTGTATCTTTTATGTTCTCATTCTCACCACTTCTGACTTTGCTTACTTTTCATATAAGGTTTATGAGTGGAGGAAGAATCCTGCACTTCAGCCAGCTATCATGATGGTGCTTATCTCTATTAAGGTAATGTGTTTAACATGAATCACATACTATTTTATTGTGCTAGGAAGGAAAAGATGAACATTGACTAGATCTCAGGAGCCAGGACCAGTGATGCCGACAACCTACAGATGTGATGTCTTTTTTATGTTTGGTGGTTGGAAAATTGATTTTCTTTTGTTGATTAAGGTTGTCTATTGTCTAATTTTTTTTTAAAAAAGAAAAGTTTGATAATGTTTTGCTTGAGAAGGTCAAAATGCATAGGTTGGCCTTACTTGGATGAGGTTGATTTGGCAAATTTTTAACTAAAATCGTACAAGATGTGCCAAAAGATTATTTTTGCTTGTAATATGGGGTTACTCTATGTAGGCTCACTTTTATCGCTCTACCCCTCCAGGTTTTTATAAAAATAACAATTTGAGGACCGTTTGGCCTCTATAAGAGCTCGTTTTTGTTGCTCTATCTGTATATCTTCATAAATATATCAATGACTTGAGAATTGTTTTATCTTTATAGGGGCATCGTGCATGCAATAGTTATCAAAAACATATCATTACCAACCTATCTCATATATAACATATTCTTTTTAAGCGTATTTCATTTTCATTATTGAACATTTAAATGTGTATTTGGTTCATTTTGAACTTGCTAATCAACATTGTACATCATTGTGCAACTTGTAAGTTATTTTATCATGAAAATGCAAAATTTAAATAAATGTTTGCGTATTTCCAATGCTTCAAATTTATGCATTTTATAATTTAAAATAATGCGCAATCATTTAATCATGAATGGTAGGACATGGATGTGCACTGTATAATATGATGGGCTTTTTAAATTGTAATTTACATTTTGTCTAACTCATAAATTATTTAAAATAGACATAATTTTGGCCTTATAAATTAGAAATCGAGTATCTTACGCAATTGATGAATACGAGATAAATTTCTTTGTTACAGTCAGTTGAAACCATGTTCTCTTGTCAACACTCAACAAAATTTAAATTTCTCAATTTGTAGAATTTTCTAACTTCCAATAGTTTTAAAACAAAATTACTTCGAATTAAACTTCAATTTCAAATTTACTCCTCATACAAACCTTAATACTTACTATTTTGATCCAAAGTCGATTCTGTTATAGGAATTTTTGAAATATTGAAATTTATCTCTAAAATTCTAACTGTTTTATCTTCTTCCGCTCTTTCAGCCCTCCTAACTTCTAGCCCTCAGTTGGGTTCCTTACTGGATGGATAAACGAGGAATAATAGTACTTATAATAATGTAAATCTTAATATATGTATATATATTGACGCTGGAGCTTTCCTCCCGCGGTACTGTAGCAGCTACGGTACTGCGGATGAATTACTGCCGCTGCTACAGTAATCACGGTCCCCCTTTCCTTTCATGATGCTTTTCAATTATAATTCCTTTCCTTCTCTACTTCTTTTCAATTCCTTTCCTTGCCTATTATATTTCTTTCCTATCCTACTCTTTACATATTTTTTCTACTAATATCCTCTTTATATAACTGCTGTTTTTTAAGATTAGGGGGAGGTTTTTATGATTTTAGATTTCTGAGTGCTGCGTTTGAGGCGTTATTCCCCTCTGGGGGTTGTATCTGACGGCGAGAAGATATTATGACTGTAACTCGTCCAAGGTGGTGACCGTCTCCATGGGTTCGAGTGGTGCTCTGACTGTAGCTCAAACCCGACGAGACATTTATCTTTTCACAACTCCCTCTCCCACGCAGTCTAGTAGTTGCCTACTTGTTGCTCCCCCTTCCGTACAAGCAAACCTGCTTTCCCTTCCCCTATTTCCCTACCATCGACACCTTAGTTCCCTCTCCCTGCTGCCGCCTACAACCCCACCTGCCACCGTCACCTTTGTTGGAGTCGATGTGTTATGTCTTTATGTTTGTGCTATTGTTTGTTGTTGTTATATCATGTCGCAAGAGTCTCGTTTGTATCGATTGGAATTCATTAATAATAATTGTGTTCTTTAATGATGGTTTGGGTCCTCCAGTATCATAATTGTGTGTGTGTGTGTGCGCTCGCGCTCGCGCAGACTTTTTGAATCAGAATCTAGCATACCGGGGTTTCAACCCTTATGGAGAATCGATATTTGGTGCCCACTGGACCAAATATCGATTTCCTTTATATATATTACATAATTCAATCAAGATTGGGAGTTTTTAAAGGTTTCATTTTTTTTTCCTGTGGTGACGGAGTTGTCGATGTTGATTGTGCAAGACAAATATTTCGGTGAGATCAAAATACACTAACTTTTGTATTTCTTTTTTCTTTCTATCGTTTATATATATATATATATATACACGCGCGCGTGCGCGTGCGTGTTAAGGGGTAGGGAGAGAGAGAAGAGAAGATGTTGAGTGGCATAGATAGATTGGGAGGATGGGTTGTTCACAACTAAACTTTGACGGCGCGTTTGGCTTAGGAGTTTGTGAGAGTTGAATTAATGTTGAGGTGGGTTTGATGAGTTGAGCTTAGGTGATTGTGGTATTGATTATTTTGTTTTGATGTAGCCAATGCATATTTAGCAAGTCGAAATAATCCAACATTCCTCTTAATGATACAGTACAAAAGTTTGTTGAGAATAGTACTTTTTTTAGTGAATATTATTTGATAGAACTTTTGGTAAAGAAATTAATTGTTTTGCATGCGCGCGCGCACACACATATGTATACATCTATACACACCCCTACACACACACATGCGCACATATGTATGTATCGATATGTATGTACATACATATGTATATATACATACATGGATACAGGCATACAAAATCTAAATTTTATGGTAATAATTTTAATTTTTTTTTTGTGAGTTGCAAAACAATGGGTATAAATATCTGGATAATTTTGACTTACATCTTTTAAAAAAATTGAATATCAAATTCTTAACTTGAATTTGAGTATCACATTAATATACTTGAATTTGAGTATCACATTAATATACTTGAATTTGAGTATCACATTAATATACTTGAATTTGAGTATCACATTAATGTACTGGTTCACTACGAGGATAGTACTTACCAGCTGCATATTTGATAGCTTCAAATTTGGCAAGAATAAAAATTCACCAGCTTTTCTTCATTTCTTCACGTTAGAGGTAATGAAAGATAAAATGACCCTTCTAAATACATTGTCTTGTCATTTGACATGTCATATCTCCTTCCTTATAGCACTCATTAATAACATAATGATTAACCAACAAGTTCATATCTAAAATTACATAAAACTTGATCAATGTTAATAAATGAATTCAAATTTAAATATTTTATCAACTATTACAATATCAATAAAACATTAAATACTAGAGAAAATGATATTAATTGCGGGTACTGCGATACATGAATATGATTAAAATGGATAGGGTCAATATGCAACTTAGCAAAGTGTTTTATATAAGTCTTGGTACAAATTCAAGTATTTATATATATCATTATTATTAAAAGCCAATCAAAACCATATTTTTTTTCCTACAACCAATTCATGTTTAGCTGAGTGGAAAAAATCAGAATTTCAAGACATGCTATGGTACAGTAGTCCATGAACAAGAATAGTGTCATTTGGTAAAATGTTAGTAAAAGTAATTAGTTGCTACATATATATATATATATATATATATATATATA